TACATTTATTTTGACCTTGATTCTTTTAGTCCATACTGATTTCCCAAACCTCTGTTGTTCCTTGCCTCATGGCTTTCATTTTCCTTCCCTGTCTATTTCATGCGACTTAAAATTCCTTGGCCTTTTGAGTTTGTTACTAGCTGGGCTTTGCTTTGGATGATGTCTTTATGCCCGGCCTTGGTGCTTTGAACCTTATTTCTTTTTTCAGATATGTGAGTGATTGAGTATATATAACCTGGTCTATCCAATCTAGAATTGGGGATTTTATCTTTAGGGTTGAGGAACCTATTTCAGTGAAACTTTAGCATACCTACTTAAATCTTGGGGGATCAGGGAAGGAAAAGAACAGCAGTTTTCAGGGACTAGGGAAGCCATGCACTGTTCCTGGTTCCCGGGTACAGGTGGTGAGGCTCATTCATGCACCATTGACACCACACACTGATTTCCTGCACACTTGCTGCAGCCGAGGCCCGACATGAAGTCCATGCTCCCAAGGGGTTTATAGTCTAGCAGAGGATTCACCATGTTAAGCAACTAAGCACAGAATTAATTATGACTCTCAGATGGGACTCTAGTTCAGTTCTGCAGAATTTTATATCCCTAATTTCCCATGTTTATTGTTCAAAATAAAACTGGCTTTTAAATATTCACTAGAAATTTCTTATTTCTTAACTGAGTGATCTCAGGGTCCTGTTGATGTTTTTTCAAGTCATTTGCAGGGATGGCATTAATCTTTTTATTTTGCTGCATACAAAGTCCTTGCTTTCAGGGGTAGAATTAAGTACACAGTGAACAAGTCCTTCATAACCTGTGAAGAAAATGATGTTGCCAGGACCTCTTTCTGGGGTTGTAAGCCTTGACATTTTGTGTATAGTGGGAAGATCACACATTAGCTCTGAGCCTCCGGGGTGCCAAGCCAAGGGAGAATAATTGATCGTGCCTGCCGGGAGAACTGTTCTGAGCTGAGGCTCAGACGGGGGCTCATCAGAAAAGAAAACTGTGATTGATAAGTGAAATCTGCTGTGGGCAAGGAAGGGCCTTGTACTGTAAGTGCCAGGAATTTTCCATTCCCGATATATTGACCCCTGGGAATGGCTTGACCTTGTGGCTTTTTTAATCTCCCTCCGGGTAGAAGGATCATTTATTTTATTCCAAACAGAATGCTTTAGACACAACTTAAATAATCTAGCTCTCCTCCCCATTCCTGATGAAGTTAAATTGATGTTCTTATTCCCAAATAGGATCACATTCAGCCTGCTGTCATTGGCAGGTTATTCCTCTTAGCACACATATAAGAATGAAGACTATCATTATGAAATGGGGAAGATAAAGTGGTAAGTTAGACTCATGTTGTCTTAGGAAAGAATGCATAACTCTTGCATTTACATACACATTTTTTAGAAGTTCCTTTATGCATTTCACTCTACCCCTTGATGTGTTTTTTCTATCTAGAATAGATTTCTGGGTGTTTTTCATTTCAATTTAGAATAAAATTATTAAAGCCTACTATGTGTGCACACACTGTTGTGTGCATGTTTGTGTGTGTCTAGGTCGTATGACGGACTGTGTTTCTAGTGGGTTGTGATCAGTTGATACAGTTTGAAAGTCACCATTCAGACCACACCCTTTTTATACTCATAGAACCTTCGGGAATAGAAGAGTTTCTTACTGCTTACTGACTTGGCCTATATCATCAGTCTCAATCACGTCCAATCCATGAGCTGCTTTGACTGTTCAAATAAAACTCTGGAAGGCATGAATTTGAGCAGGGTTAGTAAGCAAGGTCTGTTTAAAATGCATTCCGCAGGCGTTGTGTCCGAGCACTTACCTTGGTGAATGCGCACGCTGTCCCGGCCACCAGCCCCCACTCTCGTCCCCTCTGACTACTGGGATGGTCCTGGTTCCCGTCTCAAGGGAACCTTGCTCTGTCTGCTTAGCAAAAATTCAGGAATAGACATATATTGCCCTGGCCATCCTCATCTGGGAGAGCGGCCCCACTCTGAATTCCTTGGACCACAAACGGTTTATTACATCTCAGTCGCGTGACTCCCACCAGCGTTCCAGGAGCTGTGGCCATTGTCATCTCCCAGCCGCCTGCAGAGAAGAGCCATCAGAGCGTGCTTTCACTCATCAGCGACTTAGGTAACCAGATGCTATTCTGGGGTCGCCATCATTTGATTTATAAAAGCCATACGTCCGACCCATGTAAAGAAGAAACAGACTGAAGTCAAAGGGGACAGGAAGCACAAGTCACTTGGCCAGGAGGGCCCAGCTTCTAGTGTCCCTTGCAGCTATGAGCTGGAGGTCAGGATCCAAACTGAACAGGAGGGTGGGAAGAGGGGCTGCCTGGGCTCCTGAGATCTCACCGTCTGCACACTCCTGCTGTAGTAAAAACATAACAGATACGTGTTTGGATGACGTGGCAAGGAAGCACACAGAGGAAATAGCACTTAGGTAGCTTTAAGGAATGGAATGGGAGTCATAGCCTGGCGGGAAGTGGGAGAGGTGCCCTACCCTGGAAGAGAGCACCCTCCCCGGGCCTCTGGTGGCTCCAGCACGATACGCAGACGGTGAGTGTGGGATGTCTCCGTGCTCTCCCCCTTCTGCTTACTACATTTCAGAAACTATATTCTCTTTGTTAAGCATCCCTTAGTAACACTGGTAAGATTTTCAGGATAAACAGGACAAGCATTTTTTGGTAGTAAAATTTAAAAACAATAGTCATTTTCTTTTATGTGTGGAGAATACGTTTCTGGTAATGAGTATGTAATGGCTGAACCTCAACTTCTAAGTGAAATGAAAAGTACAAGTGTCAAGAACACTACGCGCTTTACCCACCACTCCTCTGCTCCCTTCTAGTTTGTGCAGATGTTGTTCGGGGCAGTGGTTCGGAGGTCTTAGGTACTAAGTTTTTCCGTTGGGCGTTCTGAGTTAAAGGACCTCAACTGACCTTTCCCCTGGCTTCTTTGCCCTTGTGTCTGCTGTGAATGGGAAGGTAGGCAGTACAGGGACAGAAGCTCTGGGATGTGCGTTTGGCGGAGAACGTGCCGCAGGGTCTAGAGGGGGGCCTTCCACGCAGCACAGCACGGAGTGCAGGGTCTGGGCCGCTCACCTGTGCTCCCACCCTTCTGCTTTTCCTTACTTCCCCCGGGCTCTTCCTCCACTGGCTTTCTCCACTTTGGCTAGTATGGCAGTCCCTTCTATTTTTTCTCCAGCTTATAAAGATCTTCAAAAGCAATCCATCTGTCTTTCCTAAGGCCTGCAATATAAGCAAGTGCTTCATATAATCCCTCTTTTCTAGATGGGCAGCGAGTCCACAGAGAGAGCGTAAGCACCGGCACGTGTGAGCTCATGCAGACCCTCCATGCAGCTTAGAGCAAGTATTAATACTGGCTGCTTGCTGAAATCTGAGTGAAGTGCTGTTGTTATTAACCATCCTTTGGGCAATTTTTTTCTTTTTGTACAGAAACGTTGATTGTGAGAGATCGGTGACAGTGAAATACAGTTGAGAAAACGGGCTGTAAACAGACCACAAACATGCACATTGGTAACTATTTTTATTTGACATCGGATTCCAATCTCCTATATTTGCATAATAACAACAACTGACCTCTCACGGTGAACCTTCACAACTGCACGCAGCTCAACCGGTTCCCCTTTCACTCTCCACCTAAAATCCAACTCTTGCTTTATCGTAACACCGGGAAGGAAAGAGCTGCTGGTCCTTGAGAGCAAAATGGGGATGTGCGTTCATAAAACCTAGTGGGTGGGTTCTCCTCACGTCATGGTTTGTATGGCACCGTTTCGTTTGGTAAATAGGATAGAAAAGGGTAAGAGAGATGAGGGCCTCATTATAAAAGAAACGAGTACATTTCAGTGCCCTACATGGTTTGAACTGCTGAGCCGGTAATGCTGTGCATTCTCTGCTGGGTAACTGCCAGGTGTCAGGGTCTAGAACCTAGGGGTGGAGGGGCAGCGGAAGGAAGCTCCAGCATCACCCCGCCAGCCCCGACCAGGTTCTGGCTCAGGACAAGGTTCTGGGAACTTGGGTGAATGACTGGACCAGGACAGGAGCTCAGGCTTTCAGACCCAGATTCTTACTACTAGGTCTCAAACTCATTTCCTGGTCCTCTGCATTAACTTTGGGGCCTGTGAACCAATGCTTTTTCAGGCTGAGTAATGTCAGAAACAATTCATTTTTCGTACATGAGTTTCCTCTGCACAACTTCAGCCTGGGTTGTAATTCCAATGAGGGCAGTTCTCATCTGTCACTCCACTGGAGCCTAGTGCACTCAGCTCAGAGCTGAGCTTGGGGTGAAGGTGTCAGTAGGGCTTTATGACCTGTCATTCACCTTTCATGCCATTTCTCTCTTCACCTATAGCTTACATAACTGCCTGTTTTCAAATTTAATAATTAGGTCAATGATTCTTGATTTATTTTTAAAAGCTAATACCAAAGACAGGTAAAGCCAGGGCAAAATGGTGCCATTCTAACATCCCACTCTGAAAGGAATTTTTTTCCCATATTATACAGAGGACTCTAGCATTAACACTCAGACGTAGCCTTCGGTGTAAGGATTTAAGGATGGGCAGAAGGTGGCTGATGTGTTAGACACCAAGGACCCTCAACAGAGAACTTTCTCAGCTTCAAAATCAAAAACAATTCTCTAGGATAAATGGAGTGATAAGAATCGGTACTGAATTTTATAGGGGAATCATCCACAATAGTTTTCCAAGTGAATGTAATAGAGCTTATTTACTTTCTTCACAAATAATCATTTTTCTCCCTCACTGTAAAATTGAGATCTGTCATTTGTGTTACCTGGATTATGTAAACATTAACATCTTTAAGACTACTGGGCTTCCCATGGAGAGGTTTAAATTTCTGTAAATCAAAGTTCTTGTTGAGCAATAAGCAATAAGTTGAGCAATAAGTCAGTAAGACACAATAAGGCAAATGAAGTAAATCAGAGGCATGGCTGTGGATGCCAATTGCTGGGTCAGTTTTTGATGGCCATGGTCCAGAGGAGTGGATGCTCCGTTTCCACGGTCACGACACCAGATCCATCGTAGGTATTGGAAGTACTGACCAGTGTTCCAAAACCAAGCATGTTGTTTGCTATGAGAAAACAATAAAACAATGTTTAGTGAGAGCCAACCTTTCTCCAGTGTGGTAGAACTTTGTCAACAGTTACCAAAAAGCAGTGAAGCCTGTGCTTTGATATAAGCTATATACAATGTGGGACAGGTGGAACATAGCATGTAGGATTTTAAAGTTGAAAGTTTCCATAACTTTTCAGGAGTCGGTTATTGGTTGTTAACTATTCTGGGATATATGCCACTCTCGGACAAAATTTCATTAAATTTTTAATTTTTTTTTCATTACCGATTGTAAAATCAAAACCCATTTTGTAATGTGCTACTTACTTTCTTGCCTGGGTGCAATTATAATTTTTCTTGATGATTGAGAATTAACATTTTACATAAGTTATTAAACTCTATAAAGATGCAGTTTTAGCTTCAAGTCTGAATGATATGGGGCGGAAAGCTAATTACTCAAAAAAACCATGGGATTTTGGTTATATTTTTCTCATAAATTAAGAAAAGCCAAAATGAGCAAGGCTTGCTTTCTGTAAAATTAATAGAAACTCAAAGGTCGAAGCCGACTGTGAAATCTTGAGGAAGCCATACGCTCAGCTGTAAAATGAGGCCAAGAGATGAGAGATAATCTTCTAACTACTTAATTATCAAAGTAAAGGCTTAGGAGTTAAGTGATATATAAGTAATTGGTAAGTAAATTCTATGTATGTATGTATATATTCTAACAGGTTAGCTGGAGTTAATGCTTAGGCATTAAGTTGAGGTAACCTCACTTTCTTTGCTTATGTAAGAGCACTTCATCAACATGACCCCAAACTCATGACTGTCCTATACACATTCCATGATAACCAATATTATTCTCTTGGCTAAAATTCAAAGAGAAAAATAAATGGAGCCCCTTTCCTTTAAACAAAATGTAACTGAAGTTACTGTGCTTTGGGGAAATAACCGGATTATAATGCTCACTTCCCACTAGAGGGAGCTTGTTATCTTCCTGAGGAAATCTCGAAAAGGCAATTTAAAAATCCAGAGATATTATTACAGGACAGTGTATAATTAGTATTACCAGTTAACACAGTTTACTTATTAAAACTCAAATTACTTATTTTTCAGAGTTGTCAGCGCCTTTACTAATGCAAACACAAAGTTATAAGGTAAAACCATACAAGAATACGGAGTGCACCTCAGGTAATATTACCCTAATATATAATTCAGTGTAAGAAGCTCTTGCCTCTTCAATAATTTGGAACTTTTTTGAGATGAAGTTTCTAAATGATACTAATATGCACCTAAGTTTACAAATCTAGACACGATTTTGTGGATAGTGGGTTAGGGTGGTGGTCATGGATTCATGACAAAGTCTATTTGGGATCTGTTGGAGAAAGGGGCCATGGCTCTCCTGCAGGGCAGCCTTGCCTGGGATCAGGTGCACACCCCATCTCCAGACATCTGGGCCAGGCCTAGGATTTCAAGGCTTTCCCAGTGGCCCACAAGGGGAACAGTTGAACATTGCAAACCACTTATTCATAAAGTTGGGGAACAGTTTGAACATTGCAAACCACTTCATAAAGACAATTTTGGATGCTCTAGTGGGCCTGCCAACTTTACAGTGGAAACTTCCCAGTGAAGTACAAGATATATATATATATGCACAACCACTTGAATTTGACACAATGCATTTTAAGATTCTGGAAACTGATTAAAATCCTGGCTTTTATATAGGCTCAGGACAAGAGCACAAAATTATTTCTCTAGTTTGTAGTTGCATATATATTCCTTTCTGCTTTTCTGAAGGTAGACTATCGATTTTGGATTATTAAGACTAGACACTTAGGAGATACATATATATCTAAGTGTCTCAATCAATCAATCTATCTATCGGTTTCCCTGACATTAATTCTTTATGGGGAAAGAATGAACACAGTTTTAATCTCATCATGAAGAGTCACCTCCCAAAGGCCCCACCTCCAGATACCACCACGTTGGGGGTTATGGCTTCCACATATGACTTTTGAAGGACACATTCAGTGTGTAGCAGTACAGTCAGAATTAATGAAAGGTTACAATTAAATACATTTGCTAGTCTCCAACTTTATGGAAATTACAATAAAATGACAGAAAACTAAAATGAATAAGCTGAACTACAAAATCATGAATTTTAATTGACTGTGTCACTACAATTATTTTGGAGTATATTCCTTCAGGTCAAAGAATCATGCGTTTGGAGCAAACCGTAAAGTCTTCCCTATAAGAAAAAAAAATTTTTTTTTTTTTTTGAGGAAAATAGTTGGAATTATGATTGAACTCTCCCTACCCCAAATGTTGGAGGGTCAATTGTGAAGTAAAATAACAAGACTGGCAGACAGACAACTTCCCACAGATGGGAAAACAGATTATTTTCTTCCAGTTCTATTGATTTATATTGATGCATACCTATATACTAGGAAATGATTATCACAATAAACTTAGTTAACATGTATTACAAATTTTTTCCCCTTGTGATAAGAACTTTTAGAATCTACTCTTACCAACTTTCAAATATTCCACATGGCATTTTTAACTACATTTATCATGTTGTACGTTATATGCCCAGTACTTCTAGATCTAAGAACTAGAAGTTTGTGTTCACCTTCACCTAATTCCTCCCCACACCTGTGCCCCTGGCAACAAAGTGTCTGAGGTCGGTATTTTTAGATTCCACATATAAGTGAGATCATATAGTATTTGTCTTTCTCTGACTCACTTCACTTAACATAATGCCCTAAACGTCTATTCATGTTGTTGCAAATGGCAGATTTCCCCCTTTTTATGGCAGAGTAATATTCCTGTGGTGTGTGTACCACAACTTCTTTAACCATTCATCCACTGATGGACACATTTCTTGGCTCTTGTGAATAATGCTGCTACAGAACATGGTGTGCAGATCTCTCTTCAACATAGTGTTTTCATTTCCTTCAGGTATGTTCCCAAAAGTGGAATTGCTGGATCATAGGGTAGTTCTAGTTTTAATTTTTTGAGGAACCTCCATACTGTTTTCCAAAGTGTCTGTACCAGTTTACATTTTCATCAACAGCATTCATGGGTTCTCTTTTCTCTAAGACCATGCCAGCATTTGTTATCTTTGTCTTTTTGATGGTAGCGTAAGGTGATAGAGCTCTTTGTGGTTTTGAGTTGCATTTCTGTAATGATGAGTGATGTGAGTGCCTTTTCATGCACCTGTTGGTCATTTGACTATCTTCTTTGGAAAAATGTCTATTCAGGTACTTTGAATGGATTATTTGCTTTTTTTTCTTTTTGCTACTGAATTTTAGGAATTCTTTATATATTTTAGATATTAACTCCTTATCAGATATACAGCTTGCCAATATTTTTTTCTCCTTTTCGTACATAGGTTGTCTTTTCATTTTGTTGATTGCTTCTTTTGTTGTGTGGAAGGTTTTAGTTTGATGTAGTCCTACTTGTTTATTTTTTAATTTGTTGCTTGTGCTTTAGGTGTCTTAAACAAAACATCATTGCCAAAACCTGGGTCAAGACAATTTTTCCCCTAGGTTATTTTCTAGGAGTTTCATGGCTTCAGGTTTCATGTTTAAGTCTTTATTCCATTTGAGTTAATTTTTGTGAATGGTTTAAGATAGGAGTGAATATCCAATTTTCTCAGTACCACCTATTGAAGAGATAGTCTTTTCTCAATTGAGTATTCTTGGATCCCTTGGCAAATATTAGTTGATTGTATAGCTGGGGGGTTAACTGTATAGCTCTGGGTTATGTTCCATTGGTTCACGTGTATATTTTTTATGCCAGTTACATACTGTTTTGATTACTACAGCATTATTATATAGTTTGAAATTAGGAACTGTGATGCCTCCAGATTTGTTCTTTCTCAGCATTACTTTAGCTATTCAGGGTCTTTTGTGGTTCCATACAAATTTTAGGATTTTTTTTTTTTTTAACTTTTGTAAAAAAATGACATTGGAATCTTGCTAGGGATTGCATTAAATCTATAGATGGTTTTGGATAGTATGGACGTTTTAATGATATTCTTCCAATCCATGAACATGGAATATCTTCCCATTTGTGTCTTACTCAATTTCTTTCATTAATGTCTTATAGTTTTCAGTGTAGAGATCTTTGACCTCTTTGGGTAAATTTATTCCTAAGTATTTTATTGTTTTGATGCTATTATAAATGGGATCACTTCTGTCTTTTTCAGATAACTCATTGTTAGTATGTAGAAACACTACTGATTTTTGTATGTTAATTTTGTAACCTGTACCTTTGCTGAATTGTTGATCTGTTTTTGGTACGGCTGTTAGCATTTTCTGTGTATAAAATCATATCATCTGCAAATAGATGATTTATTTCTTCTTTTCCAATTCTGGCCTAACTACTCTGGCCACGACTTCCAGCACTGTGTTGAACAGGAGTGGTGGGACTTGGCGCCCTTGTCTTCCTTATCTTACAGGGAAGACTTTCAAACTTTCGTCACTGAGCATGATGTTAGCTGTGGGCTTGTCATATATGGCCTTTATTAGATGGAGGCACATTCTTTCTATGTATTTGTTAAGAGTTTTTATCATGAATGGATGTTGAATTTTGTCAGATGCATTTTCTGCATCTATCGAGATGATCATATAATTATTTTTTTCTATTAATGTGATGTATCACATTTATTTGTGTATGTTGAACCATCCTTGCATCCCAGAGATAAATACCACTTGATTATGGTGAAGAATCCTTCTAATATGCTGTTGAGTTCAATTTGCTAGTAATTTCGTTGAAAATTTTTGCATCTGTATGTATCAGGGATATTGGCATGTAGTTTTCTTGTAGTGTCCTTATTTGGCTTTGGTATCAGAGTAATGCTGGCCTCATAAAAGGAACTGGGAGTGTTTCTACCGTCTCAGTTTTTTGGAAGAGTTTGAAAAGGACTGGCACTAATTCTTCTTTAAATGTTTGGTAAAATGCACCAGGGAAGCCATCTGGTCCTGGGCTTTTCTTCATTGGGAGATTTGTCATTAC